TTTTGGGAGATTAATGTGAATTCATGCATGAATTCATTTAATCGGCGATTTCTTAAAAGACCATATTCTTCTTTGCTAGACGGTGATCTCGTCCAGATCTTTTTGACGCAATACGACCTTTCCTAAGCATTCGCTGTATTCTTCCAAAACGCTGAGATTTGGAAGAAGGTTGTCTAATCCAATTAAAAAAAAAAAAAATTATATTAATTTTAAATTAATTTACAAAATTTCATGTTTTATGCATTTATAAAAACTTACTTTACGGATATATATCCATCCGGCCTTTTAATCTTTACTTAAATATTTCGTTACTATCAAATTTCTTTACTGTCAAAATGTATTAAATTCAGTTTAGCAAAGAAATAATCATAATAATAATAAAAAAATCCCATAGCTTATAAGTAACAAGAAAATACCGAAATATTTCAAAAATTCTTCTATATCTTTAATAAATAAAGTATACACATTTTCATGTTTTATACACTTTACGGGTATACTCATAGAAACCACTGGCCTTTTATTTTACTTATATTTTTTCATAAAATTGTAATTTTTTTTTTTTTGTAAAAAAAAAAAAAAAAAAAAAAAAAAAGGAAATAAGAGAAATTTTTTTTTCTTGAGAACCTTTTCTAAGGATCTCATTACATTAAAATTCTTTGTCCTAGTCACCAAGCACAAATTTTTAGAAAAGGAAAAAAAAAAGGGGTAGAAATCTAGCAAAAGAACAAATAATAATCCATCAATCAACCTCATGTTATTTTCAACCCCCAAAAAAAGGTTTTTTTTTATTTTATCTTGATAACAATGTCTAATATAGTAATTTAAAAATCCGACATATTTTTTAATGCTATAGTATAAATAATCTTTATCGGAAACTTCTATAGAGGAAGACGACAAATTTTTGAAGTTGTTCCAATTTACTTTCTCAAAAAAAAAATATATTTATTAAATTTGGAATTTAATTTCTTACAATACAATACATCTCAAAAAAAGTATCAAAAATGCATCAATCCCATTAAATTTAAGTCACATGCAACTTTATTACTGCGCATGTACTGCGCACGTATTTATGCCAAGATGGTTAAAAGAACTAATTTTGATTTTTCTTTAATAAAATGTATAAAATATGTATTTTTTTTTTTCATCATTGTTAAAATTATTTTAGAACCTTAGAATATTAAAAATAAAACATAACTCCTCCAGAACTTTGCCAGCAATTTGTGAAGGTACCTGAAAACGATGACAGTGAATATGTGGGAAATTCGAAATATTCTCAAACATCAATTAAATTTTGAACAGTAATTGAAAACCCACCAATTCGATTGCTTATAACCGATAAATTTATTATTATTTTTTTTGTGGGGGAACCGGTCGACTAGCAGATGAGCGTGCATTTCGTTTAACTCGTCTAACTCGTCGGCGGCGGAAGATGCGGTTGAGGATGCGGTATCGGTAAATTTCACAGATATTGCAAAATGGGACAGGGTTGTTGTTATGGTTATGCCGGCCACAACGAATACAGTTACGGCGGAAGTTATCCATTAGTATGATCAATAATCAACTAAATAAAAAATCTCAATCAAAAAGCAAGACATATTTATATAAAATTGTCTGTTACATTAATACCTAGAATTGATGTTAATTGTCGTCTCACAAGAATGGACGTATTAAAAAATGTTTCATGATTGATGAATCATAATAAAAAAAAAACCTTGTGTATATTGAAATAAGGAACCGTTCCGTTGTATTATTAATTAAAATAAATATTGAACCACAACTTTGAAACTCATGATCAATAAATAAATAATATCAATGACATTTTAGGAAGAGAATGAAAGGAATTGATCTAACCATTTGAATGACAAATAGGGTTCGAAGGTTCCTGACCTTTTTTTTTTCCATAAAAGTGCTAAACTGAAAGCGTAAAATAAATGCAAAGGTAACGCGGTCTATTTTTTATAAAAAGTGGTGCTTATTTTTTTGCTGTTATAGAGATAGGGTTGGTAAAACAAGACATTTTTCCTATTAAACATGCAATAAAAAGGGAGAATAAAGGATAAAAAATGATTTAAAAAAAGTTGAGTATCGGATAATTTTCCTATTAGCTCTCAAAAAAAAAAAAGGAAATCAATACGCAGCATCCGTAATAAAATTTGAAAATTACATTGTCAGACATGATACAAATAATACCCTCATTTTTGAGGGAGTATGATTCAAAAATTTTCAGATGGTGGCGATAAAGCATGTGTTTACTTTCATTAAAAGATCGTGCGATGTTACCGTGACTTCAACGAGTAATATTTAATTCAAAATGAAAATGTTTGTTTTTATCTAAACTTATTTATATTATTATTGTCTCACATGCCCCCAACCTAATATTGAACAAACAAAAAAACCTTTGTTCCCAAGTGATTCGAAATTCTACAAATATTATCAGCCAATGAAATTTCAGCAACAATGGAAACGCCGGTTTGTGTGATCTCGTCGATCGGGATAATTATTGGCTGACGAGTTTGTGTAGTTAGAATCTGATCCTTAATAATAATAGCAATATTTCTTTCCTAAACCATAACTATGAAAAGTTATTTTTTACATTCCTCTCAACATGTTCCTTTATAATACAATTTTCAATATAATTTACTTTCTTATTTTCTTAATATCATCATAATATTTCTTTACTGGTAAGTTTGTAATATATTATTTATTTAAAATATAAAATATTTATTAAAATATTCTTTAGTTTTAAGAAGAGGTAATTCTATATATTAAAAATTTATAATCTAAAAAATCGTTCTAGCAAAAAAATAGGATGATGCTGATGAGGATCAAGATTTTTAAAAGTCTGGTTGATTTTGTTAAAAAGGAAATACAATAAAAAATCAATTTCTTTTATTTCTTTATAAGTTAACTATTTAATCTTCTTAAATTATTAATTTATAATATAGCAATTATTCACAATAAATAATAAGTTAAAAAACAAAAAACTAAATTTAAATGTTGAAACTATATTTATAATAAAAAGTAAAATAAATAATATACTTAAAAAAAAGATAATGCAAAAATGATTTTAAAAAAAGAAAATAAATAAAAATTATAAGTTAGAAAGGAAATAAATAATAAAAAAAAGAAAATGAATTTAGAATTTATTAAGTATTATATAATAAATATGTTTATTAATAATTAATTACTTTTTATTTTTTCTATTTTTTTTTTAAAAAATTTTCATTTAATAATACTAATCCATTTTATTATAATTATTAGGGTTCCTCAAAATCGAATCGAATCAAATATTTAAGCAATTTGAATTTGATTTGATTTTTTCAAATCG